TTTTTAAGATTGCAGTGATATAATTTCGTGTTTTAAGTATTGTGATTATATCGCCTTTGGTGATTCCCACTCTAATAAGCTTCCATTACCTGTTAGCCACATTAGTCTCGTAGCTCCAGTGCTGAAGCTAAAGAAGCAAACTTCACGTCTTGGCTCCACATCTGAGGCGGGGTTCGGGTGGGGGGGCTGGAGGAACTATCGCTTTAATAATAAACAATAGTACAGCGCCTTTCTCAGACTCACAGACTTCACAGAGCACAGCCGTAAAGCACAAAGACGATCATCAAAGCGCCTATTAGAAGGAAATAATCTCAAAACAAAACAACAAACACAATCAAAGCCATTGTTCCCGAGCGCAGTGTGGTCTCCTGCTTCAGCTCAGCGGCTCAGTACAGTCACCAGCACCAAAACACATCCAGTTTAGTATGAACTATTTCTGAATCATAGTTCACAGAAACCAGAGGAGCAACTGAGTGGAAAAGATTCATTACTTTCAATCCACACGAGTGTCTGTGAGTGAAGAGGACAAAGTCAGACTCAAACCATCCATACAGGAACCTTACGCAAGGTGGAGCTGAACTGCTGTAGGCTGAATGGGTGGGGCTAAACTGCTGTAGGCTGAATGGGTGGGGCTAAACTGCTGTAGGCTGAATGGGTGGAGCTAAACTGCTGTAGGCGCTGAAGGGTGAGCTGACTGCTGTAGGCGAATGGGTGGGGCTAAACTGCTGTAGGCTGAATGGGTGGAGCTAAACTGCTGTAGGCGCTGAATGGGTGGAGCTAAACTGCTGTAGGCGCAGAATGGGTGGGGCTAAACTGCTGTAGGCGCTGAATGGGTGGAGCTAAACTGCTGTAGGCGCTGAATGGGTGGGGCTAAACTGCTGTAGGCTGAATGGGTGGAGCTAAACTGCTGTAGGCGCTGAATGGGTGGAGCTAAACTGCTGTAGGCGCTGAATGGGTGGGGCTAAACTACTGTAGGATGAATAGGCGGGACAAAACTGCTGTAGACTAAATGGGTGGAGCTAAACTGCTGTAGGCTGAACAGGCGGGGCTAAGATGCTGTAGGCTGAATGGGTGGAGCTAAACTGCTAAAAGCTGAACGGGCGGGGCTAAACTGCTGTAGTCTGAATGGGTGGGGCTAAACTGCTGAAGGCTGAATGGGCGGGGCTAAACTGCTGTAGGCTAAATGGGTGGAGCTAAACTGCTGAAGGCTGAACGGGCGGGGCTAAACTGCTGTAGGCTAAATGGGTGGACCTAAACTGCTATAGGCTGAACAGGCGGAGCTAAACTGCTATAGGCTGAACAGGCGGAGCTAAACTGCTATAGGCTGAACAGGCGGAGCTAAACTGCTGTAGGCTAAATGGGTGGAGCTAAACTGCTGTAGGCTGAACAGGCAGGGCTACACTGCTGTAGGCTGAATGGGCGGAGCTAAACTGCTGTAGGCTAAATGGGTGGAGCTAAACTGCTGTAGGCTAAATGGGTGGAGCTAAACTGCTGAAGGCTGAACAGGCAGGGCTACACTGCTGTAGGCTGAATGGGCGGAGCTAAACTGCTCTAGGCTGTGTAACTATGTTTGAATAATTATGGGATGTAACCCGAGTGGTGAGTCCAGATGAGCACTGTTTCCCTGAGGACCCTCAGAGGAATGTGAGGAATGTGTGTGAGTGTGGAGTCCACACCCTTCAGTAAAGTCCAGCCGCACCGCGGAGCGACGCTCCAGCGTGGGAAACTCTCAGGCTGTGGGAGGAGTGTGTGACGGGGAGATGAAGAAACTCTACAGGAGGAGAGGTCAGTGTGTAAAGGTCAGCGCGGCCCAGCAGTGAATCAGAGACAACAGACAGTACGACGCACTGGTTTCACAACAGGATGTAAAGTGTGATCCTCGCACCAGAATACAGGGGGCTGGAAAGGACAGTCAGTGTTTGTCAAATTGAAAATGATGTATTTATAATTCACACATATTTAGACATTTGGTGAACAAACAAGGGGAAAATTCATTACATCTAAATTTTCATTTCTCAGCCCAGCTGACAGAATATTATACATAATAATCTACACTCAGTTCATTAGGTGAACTTGTCACTGTCCAGTTTATCAGCTGCACTGACCGTATAGTTTCACTCTGTAGTTCTACAGTTACAGACTGTAGTCCATCTGTTTATGTTGCATACTTTATTACCCTGTTCTTCAGTGGTCAGGACCCCCCACAGAGCAGGTACTATTTGGGTGGTGGGTCATTCTCAGCACTGCAGTAACACTGACGTGGTGGTGGTGTGTTAGTGTGTGTTGCACTGGTCTGAGTGGATCAGATGCAGCAGTGCTGCTGGAGTTTTAAACAGTGTCGCTGTTTCAAAGAACCCTCTGAATGCTTAAGTGGTTCTTTGAATGGTGCGATCGTTCTTCAGATTGATGAAGAATGTGCTGTACATGGTTCCATATAGAACCTTTTCAAAAAGTGTTCTCCATAGCACCAAAAAGCGTTCTTCCATAGTTACAACACACTTAAAAACATAGTTCTTTAAGGGTTCTTTAGTACAGAAAAGGGTTCTATATAGCACCAAAATGTTTCTTCTATTGTTACAGCCTTGACATCATAATAACAGCAGAACCCTTTTTGGTTCTGTATAGAACCTCTGTATTTACTAAAGAACCCTTGAAGAACCAGAGTATTATGGGTTTAAAGATTAGAATCTGCTCTTAGACACAGTTTCTCCACCTGCTTCAGTGAAATAACGGTGAGGACTGAGCTTCTCATATGAGTAATAAACAGAGTGAAATGAACAGAAGAGGCTATAAACACTCTATAATTAGAGTTTATAAGCCTGTTTATTACTCATTAGACAGTCAGTGTTCAGTCTGTGGATGTTTTTCATTTGTTACTCCTACAGGAGCAGCATGAGGCTCTGAATGTGGATCAAAGGGGAATTATTCTCAGAACACCGCCCACCCACACAGGAACGCTGCCCCCCAAGACCGCCCCCTCCCCCTCCCCACTTACCCCAAATATAGGCCATCAGTCAAGTCGTGTTTGGTGTCTGAAGTTTGCTTCTTTAGATTCAGCCCTGGAGCTACGAGGCTAAAGTAGCTAACAGGTAATGAAAGCTTATGAACACCGATTAGCATCAGTGCCTTAAATCATCAGAGCCTGTGGAGCCAGTCAGTGACCTCTACCTTTCTCACAACAAATCAGAAACCAAATTTAATATTTCTGTTAGCAAATCTGAGAATCAGGACCTGAGAAAAGATCAGATCTCCAATTTCAGTTCAAGCACAGAAACCTTGTGATGAAACTGTAATGTAATGAAAAATGAGTGATGATGAAAAATCTACAGAAATGGTCAAAAACCCTTCATATCTGTTTCTTCATGACTTGAATTCACCCAATCAGGTCACTCTTGTTTATGTTGTTCAGAATTTGAAAAACATCTGATCTGTCAATCTTACTTATTATTAAGTGAATCATTTTCCACTTCTTTTTCATTTTCAGATGTTATGACAAAGTGTTGTTACCGGCCCACTACAAACTCCTGCCTCCCCCGATTACAGGCCTGTAGACCACCTGAGACGGCCCAGAAACCCTGACCACACAGGCTTATTATGTGGTTTCTGACACTGTATGATACACCATGTATGACATCTATGAACATTTTCCCATAATGTAGACCCCTCCAATAATATAGACCCCTCCCATACAATAGACCCCTCCAATAATATAGACCCCTCCAATAATATAGACCCCTCCCATACAATAGACCCCTCCAATAATATAGACCCCTCCAATAATATAGACCCCTCCCATAATATAGACCCCTCCAATAATATAGACCCCTCCCATAATATAGACCCCTCCAATAATATAGACCCCTCCCATAATATAGACCCCTCCCATACAATAGACACCTCCAATAATATAGACCCCCTCCCATACAATAGACTCCTCCAATGATATAGACCCCTCCAATAATATAGACCCCTCCCATACAATAGACTCCTCCAATGATATAGACCCCTCCCATACAATAGACTCCTCCCATAATATAGACTCCTCCAATAATATAGACCCCTCCCATACAATAGACTCCTCCCATAATATAGACCCCTCCAATAATATAGACCCCTCCCATACAATAGACTCCTCCCATAATATAGACTCCTCCAATAATATAGACCCCTCCAATAATATAGACCCCTCCCATAATATAGACTCCTCCAATAATATAGACTCCTCCAATAATATAGACTCCTCCAATAATATAGACCCCTACCATACAATAGACTCCTCCCATAATATAGACCCCTCCAATAATATAGACCCCTCCCATAATATAGACCCCTCCAATAATATAGACCCCTCCCATAATATAGACTCCTCCAATAATATAGACCCCTCCAATAATATAGACCCCTCCAATAATATAGACCCCTCCCATAATATAGACCCCTACCATACAATAGACTCCTCCCATAATATAGACCCCTCCTATAATATAGACCCCTCTCATACAATGGACTCCTCCTATAATATAGACCCCTCCTACAATATAGACTCTTCCCATACTATAGACTCCTTCTCCACAGACACCCCCCATGATACAGACTCCTTCTTCTCCACAGACTCCTCCCACAATAGACTCCTCCCCAGCATACTCCTTCCCCACAGACTTCACCCACAATACAGACTCCTCCCCAGGATACTCCTTCTCCATACTACGCCAATACTTCAGACTTCTCCATAGACTCCTCCCACACAACTCCTCCTACACAAGCTCCTCCCACTGCATTCCAAATAGCCAAACCTCCATATTCACTACACAGTTAACTGTTCTTACAAACATGTTTGTAGCTGAGTGTCCCACACACAAACCCCTCCCACACCACAGACTCCTCCCACATAGCAGACCCCGCCCACTGTTTTTTCTTTTACATCTAAACAGCTCTAAGAATGAGTGTTTAATCATCTGTTTATCCATCTGTCTGACCACCCCTTCATCATTCTGACCTACCTGTAGAGCTGGCTGTGGGGGCGGGGCTCTGGGAGTCCGTCACACTGCTGCTGCTGTTCTCCTCCAATCCTGCATCAGCGTCCAGCTCAGGCTCCACCCCCAGCCCAGGCCCCGCCTCCAGCTCCGAAAGAACATCCTCCAGGCTTTCCTCCTCTGGATCCGCCTTTAGGGAAGAGGTGTGGCTACTGAAGGGGGAGGAGCCACCGTTCTGTAGGCAGGCTCCGCCCACCGGCCCAGCCCCCCTGCTCTTCATCATTAGAACGTCAGACTTAGTCCTGTGCATAGCGGGACCTCCACAGTGTCAGTGTCATAGCACGGCCAACGCGCGCCTGCAGGGACCAATCAGAGACGAGGCAGCAAAGATTAGCATCACCAAACATGCTACGCATCAAAAACACTTAATAATACACATTAATAATAATAATATCTCTATTAATAGAGCAATTTTCATGCCTGTGGCAGCTCAGAGTGCTTTACAGACAGGTGATAAAGCTTAACAGTAACAGAAGAAACTATGAGATTTAATTTAAAATTATAAGATTAAATTAAAGAGACGAAGACCAAAGAGTCGTAGAGTTTAATGAAGCTCTGAGTTAAAGAGTCGTAGAGTTTAATGAAGCTCTGAGTTAAAGAGCCGTAGAGTTTAATGAAGCTCTGAGTTAAAGAGTCGTAGAGTTTAATGAAGCTCTGAGTTAAAGAGCCGTAGAGTTTAATGAAGCTCTGAGTTAAAGAGCCGTAGAGTTTAATGAAGCTCTGAGTTAAAGAGTCGTAGAGTTTAATGAAGCTCTGAGTTAAAGAGTCGTAGAGTTTAATGAAGCTCTGAGTTAAAGAGCCGTAGAGTTTAATGAAGCTCCGAGTTAAAGAGTCGTAGAGTTTAATGAAGCTCTGAGTTAAAGAGTCGTAGAGTTTTACTGAAGCTCTGAGTTAAAGAGTCGTAGAGTTTAATGAAGCTCTGAGTTAAAGAGTCGTAGAGTTTAATGAAGCTCTGAGTTAAAGAGTCGTAGAGTTTACTGAAGCTCCGAGTTAAAGAGTCGTAGAGTTTTACTGAAGCTCCGAGTTAAAGAGTCGTAGAGTTTAATGAAGCTCTGAGTTAAAGAGCCGTAGAGTTTAATGAAGCTCTGAGTTAAAGAGTCGTAGAGTTTTACTGAAGCTCTGAGTTAAAGAGCCGTAGAGTTTAATGAAGCTCTGAGTTAAAGAGCCGTAGAGTTTAATGAAGCTCTGAGTTAAAGAGCCGTAGAGTTTAATGAAGCTCTGAGTTAAAGAGTCGTAGAGTTTACTGAAGCTCTGAGTTAAAGAGTCGTAGAGTTTTACTGAAGCTCCGAGTTAAAGAGTCGTAGAGTTTAATGAAGCTCTGAGTTAAAGAGTCGTAGAGTTTTACTGAAGCTCTGAGTTAAAGAGTCGTAGAGTTTACTGAAGCTCTGAGTTAAAGAGTCGTAGAGTTTAATGAAGCTCCGAGTTAAAGAGTCGTAGAGTTTTACTGAAGCTCTGAGTTAAAGAGTCGTAGAGTTTAATGAAGCTCTGAGTTAAAGAGTCGTAGAGTTTTACTGAAGCTCTGAGTTAAACAGTCGTAGAGTTTAATGAAGCTCTGAGTTAAAGAGTCGTAGAGTTTAATGAAGCTCCGAGTTAAAGAGCCGTAGAGTTTAATGAAGCTCTGAGTTAAAGAGTCGTAGAGTTTTACTGAAGCTCCGAGTTAAAGAGTCGTAGAGTTTAATGAAGCTCTGAGTTAAAGAGTCGTAGAGTTTAATGAAGCTCTGAGTTAAAGAGTCGTAGAGTTTAATGAAGCTCTGAGTTAAAGAGTCGTAGAGTTTTACTGAAGCTCTGAGTTAAAGAGTCGTAGAGTTTTACTGAAGCTCTGAGTTAAAGAGCCGTAGAGTTTAATGAAGCTCTGAGTTAAAGAGTCGTAGAGTTTAATGAAGCTCTGAGTTAAAGAGCTGCGTTTTCAGGTGTTTATTAAAAGTGAGCTCTGAGCTCGACTGTCTAATAAAAGCTGAACTGAGCTCCACAGTTTAGAAGCAGAATAACTGAAAGAGTCTCTCCACGTTTTCTGTGTTTTACTGAAGGTGTTCAGAAGGTCAGAATCTGACCTAACAGATCCAGGCGGTCAGTGCAGTGTGTAAACGGGGTGATATGAGCTCTCTGTGTTGGTGCTGTGAGGATCCGTGCTGCTGCGTTCTGTACGGGTTCTAGAGGATGGACCGTTCTCTCCAGTAAAAAGGTCATTACAGTGATGAACTCTGCTGAACAAACACAGCAACGAGTTTCTCTGCGTCGCTCTGAGAGAGAAAAGACTGAACTTTAGTGATTTTCTCACATGATTAAAGCTGATTTAGTGACTGTTTACATGCAGATTAAACAGAGCTCAGAGTCTCAGATCACACCCAGGTTTCTACTGCTGAGTGATCAGAGTGACAGATGGTGAAGGTGTCAGTGAGGAGTGTATGACGTCTGAATCACGCTGTCCTGATCAGCTGCAGGGTGGAGCTGCTTTTATGTCACTGCTGAAATCAGGGCTGGGTGATACGGCACCAATATTACATCATGAAACTCTCAGGCATTTTCACGATACACGACATTTCACAATCACGATATTTAGTTTTTCTGAGATTTATTAAGTTGGAACAGACAAAATAGAACCTGTAGTGCCATATACAAAAGATGCTGTAATAACAATAATAATAATAATAATAATAATAATAACGTTCAACTGTTCAACTGCAATTATTTTTATTCAACATTTTACAAACTACACAGTGAAACAGTCCTAATTAAACTCACTTTGTAATGAACCATGTAGTTAATCAGTGTTCGATCTCAACAATACACTTACAAAAGTATCACAGTAGTGATGAAGCAGTAACGCTGACCAATCAGCTCTCAGTAGCAGTAACGCTGACCAATCAGCTCTCAGTAGCAGTAACGCTGACCAATCAGCGCTCAGTAGCAGTAACGCTGACCAATCAGCGCTCAGTAGCAGTAACGCTAACCAATCAGCTCTCAGTAGCAGTAACGCTGACCAATCAGCTCTCAGTAGCAGTAACGCTGACCAATCAGCGCTCAGTAGCAGTAATGCTAACCAATCAGCGCTCAGTAGCAGTAATGCTAACCAATCAGCTCTCAGTAGCAGTAACGCTGACCAATCAGCGCTCAGTAGCAGTAACGCTGACCAATCAGCGCTCAGTAGCAGTAACGCTGACCAATCAGCTCTCAGTAGCAGTAGCGCTGACCAATCAGCTCTCAGTAGCAGTAGCGCTGACCAATCAGCTCTCAGTAGCAGTAGCGCTGACCAATCAGCGCTCAGTAGCAGTAACGCTGACCAATCAGCGCTCAGTAGCAGTAACGCTAACCAATCAGCTCTCAGTAGCAGTAACGCTGACCAATCAGCTCTCAGTAGCAGTAGCGCTGACCAATCAGCGCTCAGTAGCAGTAACGCTAACCAATCAGCTCTCAGTAGCAGTAACGCTGACCAATCAGCTCTCAGTAGCAGTAGCGCTGACCAGTCAGCGCTCAGTAGCAGTAACGCTGACCAATCAGCGCTCAGTAGCAGTAACGCTAACCAATCAGCGCTCAGTAGCAGTAACGCTAACCAATCAGCGCTCAGTAGCAGTAACGCTGACCAATCAGCGCTCAGTAGCAGTAACGCTAACCAATCAGCTCTCAGTAGCAGTAACGCTAACCAATCAGCGCTCAGTAGCAGTAACGCTAACCAATCAGCGCTCAGTAGCAGTAACGCTGACCAATCAGCGCTCAGTAGCAGTAACGCTAACCAATCAGCTCTCAGTAGCAGTAACGCTAACCAATCAGCTCTCAGTAGCAGTAACGCTAACCAATCAGCTCTCAGTAGCAGTAACGCTGACCAATCAGCTCTCAGTAGCAGTAACGCTAACCAATCAGCGCTCAGTAGCAGTAACGCTGACCAATCAGCTCTCAGTAGCAGTAACGCTAACCAATCAGCTCTCAGTAGCAGTAACGCTAACCAATCAGCTCTCAGTAGCAGTAACGCTAACCAATCAGCTCTCAGTAGCAGTAAACGCTAACCAATCAGCTCTCAGTAGCAGTAACGCTGACCAATCAGCTCTCAGTAGCAGTAACGCTAACCAATCAGCGCTCAGTAGCAGTAACGCTAACCAATCAGCTCTCAGTAGCAGTAACGCTGACCAATCAGCTCTCAGTAGCAGTAACGCTAACCAATCAGCTCTCAGTAGCAGTAACGCTAACCAATCAGCGCTCAGTAGCAGTAACGCTGACCAATCAGCGCTCAGTAGCAGTAACGCTAACCAATCAGCGCTCAGTAGCAGTAACGCTAACCAATCAGCTCTCAGTAGCAGTAACGCTGACCAATCAGCTCTCAGTAGCAGTAAGCTAACCAATCAGCTCTCAGTAGCAGTAACGCTAACCAATCAGCGCTCAGTAGCAGTAACGCTGACCAATCAGCGCTCAGTAGCAGTAACGCTAACCAATCAGCGCTCAGTAGCAGTAACGCTGACCAATCAGCGCTCAGTAGCAGTAACGCTAACCAATCAGCGCTCAGTAGCAGTAACGCTGACCAATCAGCGCTCAGTAGCAGTAACGCTGACCAATCAGCGCTCAGTAGCAGTAACGCTGACCAATCAGCTCTCAGTAGCAGTAACGCTGACCAATCAGCGCTCAGTAGCAGTAACGCTGACCAATCAGCTCTCAGTAGCAGTAACGCTGACCAATCAGCGCTCAGTAGCAGTAACGCTGACCAATCAGCTCTCAGTAGCAGTAACGCTGGACCATCAGCGCTTAGTAGCAGTAACGCTGACCAATCAGCTCTCAGTAGCAGTAGCGCTGACCAATCAGCTCTCAGTAGCAGTAGCGCTGACCAATCAGCTCTCAGTAGCAGTAGCGCTGACCAATCAGCGCTCAGTAGCAGTAACGCTGACCAATCAGCGCTCAGTAGCAGTAACGCTAACCAATCAGCGCTCAGTAGCAGTAACGCTAACCAATCAGCACTCAGTATCAATAGGAGGTGTAGGAGGAGGTATGTTGTATACAATACTGTATAATATATATATATATATAGAGAGAGAGAGAGAAAGAGAGAGAGAGAGAAGCTTTAAAGAGGAAGCAGTTGTAATAATACAGCTGGAACTCGTTGAGTGTGTACAAGTTCAAAGAGTTTTACTGTGTACAAGAGTGTGTGTTAAAGTTCACCAGCCTGAGTGTGTGTGTGTGTGGTGTGTGTGAGTGTGAGTGTGTGTGTGTGTGTGTGTGTGTGTGAGTGTGTGTGAGTGTGTGTGTGTGGTGTGTGTGAGTGTGTGTGTGTGTGGTGTGTGTGTGAGTGTGTGTGTGTGTGTGTGGTGTGTGT